GGTACTATTACTGACTGTTTTGTAAGTCAGAAGTGACGCTGATTAAAGTCAGTACTGGGCTCATATCCCCTCAACCTCAGCAAGAAGTGTGAGTACATGCTTGGGGTCTTGAGCTCAGCAGCGTTTGCCTTGGTTTTCGCACTCTCAACTCTATCCATCGAGCTGTACCGACTAAGATACTGCTGCTATAGGTACGTGCCTATGCTAAAAGTGCTAATTTCTAATAATCCTGCTTACTGAAGCCAGTAGATAGTATACTATAACTACGCGTATGTGTGTATTTTAAGAAGTCGCACCCAGTATGCACTCCCAATCTGTGTGAGGTACTAGTGCGCTTAATCAAAATGGGCGCTGGATCAGGGCGTGACAGGCATTATTGCAGTTGCGCTGTCATAACAATTGCCGCAAATAGGGGGGAGGGGGCAACACAGTGGGACACGTCGGTGCAGGCTCACGCCGTACCAGTCACCGGCGTCTGATCCTTGCCCGATCAGGGCATGACGAGCTATAATCCTGTGTGTGTTGTGAATAGCTCTCGTGGAAGTGCACCTTCCCAAAGGCCCACCGATGCGGTTTTCGACCTCCGCGAACGGCCAATCACAGATGACGCATAGTTGGTCCTTAGCGAGACGACGAATAGGAAGCCTGCATGCGTGAATTGCTCTCTTTGTCTGTCTGACCAAAAACCTTCAAGGCTGACCCATACAATGAACGCTCTCCCTTTGTCTACTGACCTGACTGCTGTCAAACCAGCACTTGGACCACGGCTGGCATCCTGGCTGGTCGTGTTTTCTCAATTCAGAATTCTTCCATCTATTCTTCTTTCCTCTCTGTACACAATATACTGTTCCTACTACTCTGGCCTTTCCAAGACTTCTTCTCTACTAAGTGACCATGGTCTGAAGATCGCAATTGTCTGGGTTTAACTCACTTAACTCCCTGCGATATGTGTATCACCCGAACCCGCCTCTGGTCATCTGGACACTGTCTTGGCACCGGTTACAGGTGAGTGGGGGAAGAGAGAGTGTGGGAGCTGCAGCACAAGTCTATTATGAGTTAAAACTAATCCATGCGCAAATCACCGTCCGCGCACCATCCTCCTGAGCAGCACGTGGTGGACCACGTCGAACTCGACGGTCAAACTGTCGTTTCATGGAGTTTCGGTATTCCATGGAATCTACGAATACGTGAACCCCCAGGCTTGATGCACGGACCTCCTGTTTTGTCATTGGCTTTAGTTTTATGTAGAACCTCTAGCTTTTGCATGTACATACGTCTCCCAGCACAAGAGCGACTATGAGGCTGCAGCAACAACAAGAAGGAAGAAGTCTAAACGTTACGAGCAGTTTGGTCGTTTTGTTGGCCTCGAGTTATCCTAGTGCTGAGGACGTGGTAGTTAACTCTGTCCCCCTCAGTTTCATTAAACCCATCCCCATAGCCCAGTTATACTGCTTGTCCCGTTGTACCGGAGCACCAGACTAATTGAACGTTGACCTTCTCGTCACGTTTTCCTTACTGTACTGCTTATTTGAACAAGACGAACACAACGGTGCATGTATGTAGGCCCCGCGTTGCTTGCAGTCTCCACATTTTGGTCATTGAATATACTGAGCATTAAATTTCTTCACCTACTGTTTTCCCTTACTGCTCTTCTTGCGTGGGATCCGTGAGATATTCTTCGGTAGTTCGTGCGAACAGTATTGTATACAATGGTATTTTACCGACAAACGGAGAGCACACTCACGAAGCTTTTCTGCCTCATTGGGCGTCATCAGGTGGTGGTATTGTATGCGTTACCTTCATCACATTTACACCACAATGGGCTTCTGCGTACCCAGAACATTGTTTTACAGCTGTGCAACGAAGGTATGCAGCTGAGCGAAAGGGCTCAATACGGCCTAGCACCTACTCTCTTGCCAAGACAATGACAAGAATATAGTAATGATAATATGCATATTGACGTACGCATGGCAGGGATGCCACTCCCAGTGGTCTGGAATAAGGTTAGGCAAGAAAGGTGCCGTTCCAACGTTCTTTGTGATGGAACTAAAGCGAAGCAGTGTTCTCCTTGCCCATTGATATCGATCTAAAATTTAAAAAATGCTATGACACCGTTATGTCCGCAGTAAATGATTTCTCGATATGTTGCTGGTTTTATAAGCGGAAAATAGCAGCCCTCAGCCTACTTTATCCTTTTCGCATAACTGCCATTGTTGTCTAAGTACGAGGATGACTAAAATTAGTTATTTGCTTTTTTTGCCAAAGATAACATCTTACAAATGTTAATTTCTTTCAGAATACTATCCATTAGATACGTTCTCCACTGTTCGAAATATTTTGTTCATATTCTTCGGAACTAATGCGCTTAAATGCTTCTACTAGGTTGTCCTTAACTCACTTTACATTCTGAAAAAGAATTTCCCTTTTAGGTGTTTCTACATTCTTGGGAGTAAGGAGAGGTCGCAGGGTTCTAGGTCAAGTGAGTAAGATGGATGGAGAACCGTTGTCATACTATTTTTTGAGACAACTAATCGCACTGCACATCTTTTAGAGTTTTCGTCTGTTCTGGACGTTGATGGACGACCCCAACGTAGGTTTCCTTTTCAAGTGTCATTTAACCATTTCTCAACTGGGCAAACCGCTCGTAAATTCGCACCTGACGCAGAGCTTACGTTCCATAAGATTCTCGAAGCTTTTTGCGCTGTTTTATTTAACAGGAGACAGAACTGGATGTAAATCTGTTACTCCTTAAATTTAGTCATTGCAAATAACCGAGAATGTAGGGAGCGAGCTTGGTCAAGTAGCCCTCGGGCCGCTATGATGGTCTCTCAGGTACACTACTTGGACAATTGAGCAGCAAGTACCTAGCGGGAGAGAACAGCATTGCCAAACAGAAAATAATCATCCTTTTTGGTCATCCAAACGTATGCTGTCTATGGCATAATTAAAAATTCTAGTCTATAATGTAGATATATGGTCGTTGAAAGCAATACTGATGTCTACTGTCTCGGATGATGATTTCCTCGTCATGAGGATGTTTTCTACTCCACATTTTAATTTTTTTTCAAAAGTATCTCGACGAAGGTTTCATGTTCTTCGCTGGCTTACACAGCAAGCTTTGCTAAAACACAGTTGCTTTTAGTGAGCAAATTGGCACTCGTTACCAATATGAAAAGTAAAAAAAAGAAATGTCAGGAACCAACTTGGATTGTTCGCAATGAAAGTATACACGCTGTTTGGGAAACAGTTCTCTTCAAGCGCGCACTCTAACTGCCAAAGTGTTCGTCTCTGTAAGTAGACGGATCGTCTCATTGCCTCCACGTCCGGTCTCAGATCCGGTAGTGCTAGAAATTAGAAAAAAAACCTTAAATACTGTTACCCTGTAAGATCAGTCAGTACGCTAAATAGTTCCTTTAAAGCTCATTAAAGTTAGCTGGGGCTCCTGGACAATCAAAACAACTGGATCTCGCAGCTGTCGGTCTAGATTACCTAAAGTGTCCTTACATTAAGCCTGTGCCCAACATTAGGCCGAGTGATTATGCTACACCCGTAATATTTCACAGCAAAGCCTGTCCATGGTAATGACTGGTGGCTTTTTAAACGTGAGTTTCGAGAAAAGAAAGATGAGACAGGAATGGGCGTTTCTAGTTTTGTAGGTGTCATTAGTGAGCCATACCCAGCCCCAGGCTAGGGACACCGGGGATTCGAATACGGAATCTTTGGTTATTGAGTCCGACACTGTACCATTGAGCCACCGGCCAGTTGTCCTCTCGGTTGCGATCGGGCTTCTTTTTTATTCAACTGTAAGCCTACCCTCTAGAATTCATAGTTTATTTCGGCAGATGAAAGTGTTGTAAATCATCAACAGCTAGAAGGCATGTAGATTAACTCATTGGATGACCAAATATTTGATGAATCCAGAATCCCATCAACGGATGACTAAAACCAGGAAGAGAAGTCCAAGTGACAACAAAAGCGTGAACTCACAGAAAGCTGCCGAGACTACTCCCTTTTAGTCACCTTACATTACCTTCTTACTTAACGTGGAAGCGTATGTCAGGCATCCAGCTGTTCTGAAAGGAAGGCTTTAAAAATTAAGTTAGAGACGAGAAGACCCAGTGAAATGCTGTGATTAAAGCCGTAAATAGACCTGCATTCCCTGAGCTATTTGATGGCATGGATGAGGATATCTTCAATGGAGTAAATACAACCGGGCTTAAGTAGACACACTTTTTGTCGAGAAGGATTGACGGGATAAGTTCGGATTTGGATATCAAAAGATGGAAGATTACATGGGTACCCCGACAGAGGAGACCTATGGAGGTCGATATGGAGAAAGTATGGATCCTAGGAATAACCAGCGATTTTCTTGGCTTATGTGGTTGATTTGGGATACTGCAGATTCGTTGAGTCCCGATACCGTCGAACCTGCCAAATGTAATTTGGGCCCGTGTAATAGCGCAGATTCGTTAGATAGTCCTAGCAAAACTATACGTCAACCAGCACTAACAAGTGTTCTACGAGCTAACAGTAGTATTTTGACCTGCCGTTCATTTCTGATTTTACGATGAGCGGGTGCCGCGGAAGACCAACTTTTTGGATATTTGGTTTACCTTAAATAAGGCAGGGTAACCAATGTACTCACTAAAATGTCAACCCAATCCAAGGCCTTGGTCTGCTGTTTGGTACAGTGTAGTAACCCCAGAATTTGCGCTACTAGCTGAGTCGCGTATCAAGGCAAATG